CCCCGAAGCGCGCCTGGGAGCGGGGGCCAAGGGCCGCGGCGCATCTGCGGCTCGAAACCCCGCGCGGCGCGCGGAGAGCACTCGCGTGTCGGGCCGCAACCTGCGCGCGCAGTTCGCGCGTTTCCCGACATGGAGCATCCGCGCGGATGACGTCTCGGGGTCGGCGGGCGCCCGCCCCTGTCGCTGGCGGCGGCCTCCGCGGCGGGTGGTGCAGCTCTTGGCCCGCGGCGGGCTGGATGGTTGCAGCCGCGCCGGGCGGGCCTTGGCGGGCTGGGCTCTGCCGGCGCGCCTGGGCCTCGGCGCTGGCGCCGCCGGGCCGGGCGGCTCGACCCCTGGCGCCCCGCGCCTGAGAGAGCAACGGACAGAATTCTTCCAACGTGCGCTTCGCGACTTGGGCGACGCCGCGCCCGCCAGGCTGGGCGCCGCGCGACTTGGCGACGCGGCGCCAGGGGTTCCCCTTTCCATGTGGGTCAACGAGTTCGCGCTGCAGGCCAACGTTGCAGGCTGGTCGAAGACGCTGGCGGCCGAGGCGGCGCTGGCGGTGCGCGACGGGTTGCTGCGCTGCGAAGCATGCCGGGCGGCGCCTGGCGGAACCTGGACACCCGGGCCTTCCCGGAGCCGCCCGCCTCGCGCCCTCCGTGCCCGCAGAGACTGCTTCGCGCGACGGTGGATGCGGCGCTGTCGTGGGGGCGGCGGCAGATTGCCACCCCGCTCTTAAGCGCATTCCACGTCTTGCGGCGGCTGCGCGAGTATCTAGGGCTGATTTGGGGCGATTTGGTCATCCCGGAGGCCCCGACGGGCAGCGAGGCGATCTTCGCGCGGGCGCATGGGGCCACGATCCGTCGGCGAAAAGCCCGCGTCACCCCGCGCGCCCCGACGAGCCCAGCGTAGCTTCTTCCCTGGTCAAGTGTGTTGAGAGGCGCGCGGGCTCCGAGATGACCTGGAGGAACTCTGGCTCGGCCTTCCGTCGGCGGTTTGACGCGTTGCGCCTCGCAGCTGCTGGGCTGGAGGGCCCCGCTGCGCTGCCCTCGCCCCTGCGCCCAGGAGGCGCCGCATCTTTTCTCGAGACGAGATGGGCATATCAGTTGTTTGCAATGGAGAGGATAGGCCAGCATCAAGAGAATAGGTTGAATCGTTACGTGCTGGAGTTTATTACCCACCTGGTGTTAAGAGACATGCCGGGCAAAGCGCTTGTCAAACCAGATGCGTTATATTCGCTGCGTGCGCCAGTGCGTGCCCCCGTCGTGGAGGGCGGGTTCGAGGCCGGGGTCGCCTGGGGCACCGTTTGTTCGCGGAGGTGCGCTGTCGCGTGAAGCACCCCGCCCCCGCCCAGGACATATCGTGGGAAGTGGGGGGCCAACGGGCTCGCTTGACGAACCAACAACACACACCCATACCCATAGAGGGGTCGGAGAGGGCTATGGGTGCGTGTTGTCGGATGGGGCCCCCCGCTCGAACGGGAGCGTTCCCCAGGGTCCGACAACCCGCACCCATACCCATAGCCAGTCCTCCTCCCAACGATCCCCCTATGGGTATGGGTGCGTGTTGCTCGTTCGTCATCGCTGGCGCAACGATACTCCGCGTCGGTGGAGGCTGCTGCGCAGCCACCCAAATTCCTCGGGTCGGAGGAGAGAGATTTTCAACTACACACGGTCGGGTCGCGTCGTTTATACTTACGCAGGACGAAAGATTTCCCTCTCGAGGTGCAAATGGCGATGATGAGTTGGAAGTTAATGACCGAGCCCCCTGCCCCCGTAAAATCTTAACACGAGTGGGTTCCGGGGTCCGCGGATCCGATTTCTTCCGGCTCTCCGGTTTAATTTAGCCATATAAATTGTAAACGGGGTAACAGTCGGACCCGCCGAAAAGAACAAACCGAACACGGATCCAGCAAATCCGAAATCGGATCCGCGCGGACGGAAATCGGATCCACCGAAACAAACACCAAACCAAAACCACGCTTAGATCTGCGCGAACTTCACGGGATCCGACTCCGACGGTGGTTATCTCATACGCGTCTGCTGAAGACTTCCTCAAGCCGTCGTTCTGGGGCCCAGAGGAAAACACTTTCGTCCGGGGATGTATCATGTCGCCACGCGACGGTTCCGAACGGCCCCAAACAGAGCAGCAATGACATCATTTCTCGTGCGTTGGCCGTTTTGCTTTCAAGTGCGTCCCACTTCCCACCCACACCAGCGGGCTGGCTGGCGTAGCAATAACTTGCGTCAGTGGAGGCTGTTGCGCAGCCGTAAGCATTCTTTGTATCGGGGGAGAGAGATGTGCAAATTTACACAGTCGCTTCGCGACGTTTAGATCATGTCGTTGCGCGACGGGTCCGAATGACCCCAATCTGAGCAGCAATATAGATAGGGAGCAGTGATGAACCCGTCCTCCGAGCAGGGGAAGGAACGTTTCGGTATGTATCTATGGTCAGCCAAGCGTGAATGCCTCCAGTCACTACGCCGCTGTCTGTGTTCCATAGCCTTTGGCCTCAGTTCTTTCTGGGTGTATGCTCGACCCAGACCTCCAAGCCCTGTACGCTGCCGCGATAGCAGGGCTGCCGGGCTGGGCTGCCCTCGTCTGGCAGGCCGTGCGAGGGCCTGAGGAGTCCGCCTCTCCTGGGGGCGGAGGAGGCTACCCAGGGCACGAAGAGGAGTGCCCAGAGGTGGTCTGCGAGTGCCCAGAGGTGGTCTGCCCCAGACCTGAGTGCCCCGAGACTGATTGTCCGATTGTGGAGCGCCCGTCGGTCCCCGACATCAGGGACGTGTACCCCTTGCTGGAGGACGGCATCTTCGCCATCCTCTTCCTGCCGCTGCTGGTTGCCACAGTCGCGGGAGTGTTGCTCGGGTGCTGGTGTGCCCGGAGGACGCGTGGCCAGAGAGGAGCGAGCGGCCAGCACGCCAGCTCGTCTGAGCTAGACGAGAGGCAGCGGCGGCTCGCCGCTGAGCAGGTAGCAGCCGTTCGCGCCCGTCGTGAGACTGGCCGCCACAAGCAACAGTAGATATGGCAGCCAGGGGAGACTATATCCTTATTAAGTACAATGGGGTCGACGAGGACTTGTATCATGAGACGCTGATCACAGGGGTCAGCCCAGAGGATCCTACTGAGGTCACCCTGTACACCGCCGACCAGGATCACTATCAGTTCAATATTGCGCCTGGGGATGACATCGAAGCGGTGTACTGGATCGGGCTGCCAGGAGGTCGCCCCGCCCATGTGCCAGAGAATCAGATCTATCGTTTCCGACACAACGTGCCGCCCAATGAGCGCCAGAGGCTCTTCGCCGAGGCGCAGGGCATGTTGGGGGCAGCACCAGCACCTCCGCCCGCCCCGCTGGCGGCCCCGATGCGGAACGTGCAGCGACAGGGCTTGGGCCGGCCCGCCGGGGCGGCCGCCAGACGCGCCGAGCCAGGCCGCGTGTGGGTCTTCGCCGAGGACCACGGCCGCCACCAGAAGGGCGACGGCATGGAGGAACTCCCCGCGGGATCAGTGGTCCTGGGCGAGAGGGCGGTCGCCCCCATGGCGGACGGCAGCACGGCGTTCTTGCAGATGATCCCCCAGGACGGCATCGATGAGTTCAAGATGGACGACCTCCGGGTGATGCCCGTGAAGTTCGATGGCATGGGGAGGCGCAGGAGGCTCTTCCAGGATGGCGTCGCCAGCTTCGTGCCCGACGAGCCCGAGGGAGGCTTAGGGCTGGAGGGTCCCGGCACAGTGGCCTGGAGGTGCCAGACCTATGTCGAGAGGTCCCAGACGCCCGTGTCTCATCATGCGTCGTGGAGGGCGACATCTGGAGTGTCGAGCGGGGACCGCAGCGTCTTCGAGCATGAGGTGCTCTCCGAGGTGCTCGAGAGTATGGTGTGCACAGACCATCTGCACGCCCCCGCGCTGCGCAGTGCGGAGCTCGTGTGCAGGAGGCTCCAGCTGATCGAGAGCGCCCACTCCCTGAGCCCGTCGGCCCCCGACTACTCGGCCGCCGACCAGCACATGGGATGGGGCCGCCGCCGACAAGGCATGATGGTGGCCCCGCTGCTCCAGCAACACGTGGCGACCGCCCTCCGCGATGAGCACCAGGTGGCCAAGGAGCAGAGGAAGGCTCGTGAGGAGCGCCGCCTGGGCCGCCAGAATCACAAGAACAACAAGGACAAGACCTCAGAGGGACAGGGGTGATGCGGCCCCCTCCGAGGGGCGACGGACCTAGCCTCTCGGCAGTGACTCACCCAGGAGGTCCACAATTTTTTGATAGAGCTCGGCCACGAGATCTCTTTCCGCTCCCTCACGTCGATGAGCAGTCGGCTACTGAGGGTCATCCCTCACGCTCGGTGCGAAGACGCCTGGCGAGGAGGAGGTTTTTGGACAGGGCTACCAACTCTGTCATCAGTTCCTTGAATGAGATGCAGGGCTGCGCCGGGGAGCACGACGGTACCCCCGCGATGGGCCAGATGTTGTCTCAGGATGCGATACGCTGTGACGTCGCGTCCACTCCGCCATCCCAGACCTTGTACACCAGACACGGGGCCGTCCGCGAGCTCTTGTCAGGCATCGTTGACTATGCAGGCAGCGATTGCAGCACCACGGTTCGTCCCTATCGGCGGGATCAGGTTTCTCTTCCAGATCCCGGGAGGCCCTCGGCGGATCTACTGTCTACCCTCCCGGAGCCTGACCAGGATTTGCTGAAGTCATGGGATACTCATATGCTTGCTGACCCTGCTGACGTGGGGTTCTATCGAGAGTCGGGACATCAGTTTAGGTTGTACTTCGACGAGATTTTTAAAGCGCAGCGAGGAGTCTACGTTGAATTTTTGAGAGACCTTAGCGACGCCAAGATGATTGGATGGACAGAGAAGCCTCTGAGCCTGGTGACCCCTTTCTTCGTAGTAAAGAAGCACGACAGGTTACGACTCATCATGGATTGCCGAAACACGAACCTCCTCTTCCGAGCACCCCCTGCCCCTGAGATGGGCACGGCTGCAGCTTGGGGCAACCTGGAGCGTCCCGAGGCTCGTCCTGGAACCGAGGTCGGCGGAGCTGACGACAGCGGAGGCGGCGGAAGCAAGCTCTGGGTAGCCCAGGCGGACGTGAAGGACTGTTTCCACTGCGTTCGCAACCTTCCAGAGCTGTGCCCGTATTTTTGCATGCCGCCGATCACGGAGGGAGAGAGGGCCGACGCTGGTATTGATGGCCCTAGTGGCCTTGGGGATCTGGCACGTGAAGTATCGGTTTACCCTATGCTGTTGACTCTTCCAATGGGGTTCTCCTGGGCCTTCTATTGCGTCCAGCGCCTCGTGGAACACCAGTGCAGAGTTTCCTTGGCTGGGGCTGGCTTGGCTTTCAAGTTCCTGAGAGACCAGGCCCCTGCTCCGGATCTTGGGACCCAGCTGGCCGTTCTACCCTATTGCGACAACATCAATGTGGCAGGCATCAGGAGGGAGGAGGTGAAGGAGGCTAAGGATGTGATTGTTCGGAGGCTTCGTTTCGTGCAGTTCACTGTCCATGAGGAGACCGAGCCCGAGACCCTGTCGTACTCGCTGGGTCGCGTTATCGATGGGGAGTCTTGGGTGGTTCGTAATCGGTCTGAACGAGGGGAACGTCTTCGCAAGGTTTGTGAGGCTCTTGAGGGGGGTCAACCAGTGACGGGTAGGCAGATGAAGCAGTACCTTGGCCACGTGGTCGATTTCTTTCTGATTAGACGGGAGGTCCTCTCGGTGCTCAGAGCCTGCTACGATTTTGCGCAGGCGGCAGAGAAGAAGCCCCAGAGTTTGTGGGCTTCTGCACGGCGCGAAGTTCGCTGGATACGTTCTCTAACTTTCATTTGCCTCGCTCGTTTGGACAGGCCGTGGCACGATACAGTTGTGTCGACTGATGCGTGCGAGTCTGGTGCAGGGATTGCTGTGCGCCAGGCTGACCCCTCAGAAGTAGCGTCCATCGGCCGAGTCCGTGAGAGATGGAGATATCGCTCTCGTCACCCCCTTCACTGTCGCCCTCGTCTGCATGCCCTAGGTGGGGACCCTCTTCACGATGTGGACACGGTCTTACCAGTAACCCGACAGGCCCTAGGGGAGGCTCCTGAGGACCTGGAGGTCAACCCAGGGTTCGACGAGATCCCAGAGGCCTTCATGGACCCCGACAAGTGGCACGAGGTGTTTGCTATGCGTTTCAGGAAGGAGGAGGCTATACCTATTCTGGAAGGTCGGGCGTCTCTGTTGGGGATACAGCATTATATGAGGTCGTCTCGGTCTTTTGGTAAGCGTCTTCTACTCGTGGGGGACCAGCTGGGGAACACTCTTGCTATTGGGCGTTCTCGGGCATCATCTTACGACCTGCTCATCATCATCAGGCGTATTGCTACCTACATGTTGGCTACTGGCTCGAGTCTATCTGCACGATGGACCCCCTCCGAGCTCAATGAGGTTGCCGACCGATCCTCCAGACGATGGGAGAGTGACGTCAGGGCTCCGAAGGGCCGCAGCGGCTCGGGCGCCCACCCGCCGCGCCAAGGGCAAGAAGACAGCTCTGGCGCGTCACGGGGAGGGCGTGACCTCACGGCTCCAGCGGCACCACCGGGGTTCCACCCCAGCGAGGTCTGCGGGCTCGACGCCGCTGCGCCTCCAACGCCAGGGAGCTGTGGAGCGCATCTCGGGTCCCTCGAGAGACATCCGTCGAGAGAGGCGCCAGAACATCTTCGGGGCTTTCGAGCGTCTTGCCCTGTCGGGCCAGCATTCCATTCTCGAACGTCACTCGATTACGGCACCCACGGAGGGCCTGTACACAGCCTGGTGGGAGGAGCTCCAGGATTTTGTGGCCATGAACGGCTACACCTTGGACAGCGTGAGGAATGCCGACATTGCGCTGGTGGACTTCGCGGACTACTTGTTTCTCGAAGGGTTCGAGCGGCCCGACCTCATGAAGATGTACGCCGCGGCCGCCTGGCACCTGGCCAGCCTGTCCCCCATCGGGAAGCTGCGTTTTCCGCGGTTCTCCCGTGCCGCTCGGGGGCTGGGCCTGCTGGCCCCAGCGCAGACCGTGCCGCCCGTCCCGTTCGAGCTGGTGTGCTGGGTCGCCTGGCACATATACCTCCGCCTCCAGGACTGGACCATCCCGCTCTGCCTGCTGACCATGTTCGTCTGCTACTTCAGGCCCGTGGACGTCCACAGCCTGAGGGAGGAGGACCTGGTACCGCCAGGAGGCTCGAGCACTCACTGGGTGCTCAACGTGCACCCGGCCCGCCGCGGGGAGACGTCAAAGGTGGGGGTGTCCGACGAGGCGCTGCTCCTCGACTCTCCGTACCTCCCAGGTCTGGGCCCCGCGCTGCATCGGCGACTTCGAGGCCATCGGCTGGCCAAGTTGTTCGAGGTCAGCGAGAGGGAGCTCAGCACACAGTGGGGCCGCTCGCAGGAGCAGCTCGGGTTGCTTCCCTCCCAGCGGTATCGCCTGTACCAGATCCGCCACGCGGGGCCGTCCCACGACATCCTCATGGGGGTCCGCACGCTCCTCGACGTCAAGCGCCGAGGGAGGTGGAGCTCGGACGCGACCGTCAAGCGGTACGAGGCGGCGGGGCTGGTGCAGCAGGAGTGGGCCAAGCTGTCGACGGCGCAACAGGCCGCCGCGTCTCGCGCGGCCGAGTGGATGCAGTCTCAGGTGGGTATGTTCTCCGCCCCCAGCCCGGGCGGGCGCGGCGCTGGAGGACACCGTGGCTCCTCCAAGAGCTGTACTGCGGCACGCACGGGATCCTCGACAGCGCGGGCCGCCAAGGCATCGGCGGCGTCGGCTGGGACACGGAAATCAGTTCAAAGGCCGACCTCTCGAGTGCGGCCGTCATCAGGAGCATCGCCCGCGACTTCCAAACGGGCAAGAACCGCTTCGGGCTGAGTGGGGTGTTCGCAGCTCTCTGGGTCGGTATCGTGTGCTCGACCTGGACTCGTATTCGCGACCGTCCTCCTCTTCCCCGATTGCGTGATGATGACAAGTTTTTGTTGGGGTATCCGCAGTATGAGCGTGATTGTGACAGGGAAGCTGTGCAGTTGGGAAATCTTATGGTAGAGCTGTTGGTGAAGTTGCTTTCTGAACTTTTACCTAAGAGAATCGTTGTGGTCATAGAGAACCCACTGACATCCAGGCTCTGGCTTCATCCTGGTATCCTTCAGTTGCGAGCTGATTTTTCTGACCACCAAGACGTGTTGCTGGATCAGTGTGCCTACGGCACTCCCTGGAAAAAGCCCACGAGGCTGCTGGTATGGCACTGCCCGGCGCTGAGAACGCTAGGCAAACGTTGTACAGGCACCAGAGGAGTTTGCGCCTTTTCTCAGCAGCCTCATGCGTCTCTGACCGGCAAAGTTCACGGAGTTTGGCGCACCAAGAAAACCCAGCAGTATCCGCAGCGTTTTTGTGCAGCTTTTTCTCGGTGCTTGGCTGAGCACCTCAGTCGCAGTCCGCCTTTTGCGTCCCCCACCCACCCATCCCTGTGCTCCGTGCCCTGCCAGAACACTACATGATAGCGGATTCGGGAGACATTGATTATTGAATAATCTTGCTCTGTGCGCTGATTTGTTTTGTTGAAGTGCTGCCGGCACTGATCTCGGCCAGCTGCGAGCCTCGCCCAACCGACAGCTGCCAATAGACAATGTTTCTAACTTCTGGCGGAGACACAAACAGGCATGGTCAGCCAAGCGTGAATGCCTCCAGTCACTACGCCGCTGTCTGTGTTCCATAGCCTTTGGCCTCAGTTCTTTCTGGGCCCACCGTCCACCCCAACGCCTCCTGGGAGACATTGATTATTGAATAATCTTGCTCTGTGCGCTGATTTGTTTTGTTGAAGTGCTGCCGGCACTGATCTCGGCCAGCTGCGAGCCTCGCCCAACCGACAGCTGCCAATAGACAATGTTTCTAACTTCTGGCGGAGACACAAACAGGCATATATATATATATAAAGAGAGAGAGAGAGAGAGAGAGAGAGAGAGAGAGAGAGAGAGACTATAGACAGATAGCGAGAGAGAGAGAGAGAGAGAAAGAAGGATAGAACCAACAAAGCACACACAGTTTGTTAAACCACCTGCGCCCAGAGGGCTGGTGGGGTTCTCGTCCTCCCCGGGGGCCGCAAACAGGCCATGTGCCTCTAGGAGACCAGGTCCGCTAGGATACCCGTCGGCAAGTATGTAGACATTCGCGCAATGGTGAGGAACAGGTGGGAGGCGTAGGATCTCGGATATGGAGCGCGCCTGCCTTGTCCTTTACCTGTCGCTTTCCGCCTTCCCGTCAGATGCAGAGATAGTGAAAAGGGCTGTGTTCACACCTCTCCTCCTCTTCCCTCGCCACGTTGTCCTCTTCTCGCCCACTGCTCGCTTTTCTCCATCCTCTCCTCGCATGTTTCTCCTCCCGCTGCGCCCGCCAGATGGTCGAGGTTTGCACGACCACCTCCACAACAAGCACGACCACCCACCACCACTACAACTGCTCCTCTGGACTGGACTACTGGGAGACGGGGTGGTCGAGCCACAAGAAGGAGTGGCGCCTCGGCCGCCGTGCTGTTGCTCCTGCCCCTCCAGAGAGGAGGGGGAAAGCGGGGGAGGAGGAGGGAGGAGGAGGAGGAGGAGGAGGAGGAAGAGGAGGAAGAGGAGGAGGGGTCGACGAGGAGGCCAGCGACGAGGAGGAGATGCGAGGCGAAAAGTGAAAGAGAAGAGATGAGGAGGAGGAGGGACCTCCCTCGTCGTCCTCTTCCCAATGTCCCCCTAGTGCTGCCGTGCCTCCCCGTGCTCCCGTTCCTGTTGATCCCCCTCTTGCTCCTGTTCCCTTCCTCGGCCTCTGGCGGCTGGTGCTCAACAGCTTCGGGGTTCCACTGGCTGGCGCGATGCTGCCCGACCAGGTCCAGACGGGTCGGGCGCGCTGGCAGAGTTGCATCCCCTGCTCGCAGGCCCCGTCTCTCGCCCAAGCATCGGGTTTTCGCGAGAAAGTGGCCGCGCAGACTAGATCGGAGCATCAGGGATATTTTCTGCATCGAGGATGGAGGAAGGCCCCACAGTAAATCCCCGAGTTAGGCTGCAAGCCTTAGGTTCAGCCGGGAACCCCATACAGTCGGGGGATCGGGGTCGCCATGCCCCCGTTTCTCGCGCCCAAAGCGAGTATTGATCAAGGATAGCGCGTAGGTTCGTGTGTTTGGAGGTGTTTTTGCGCGTCGAGTGCTGAGTCCATGGTCCGAAAAGACCAGCCCCAGCAAAGGATCGGAGACGAGGATTGGGGGTGACAACGAGGGTACGGAAAAGGATGAGACTGGGAAGGACGAGTTGGAAGTGTACATGAGAGAAAGCGACAAGGACAAGAAATATGGCTGGGCGGGGAGGTAACGGGAAAAAGGAAGATGAGGTCGATCAATTTGCAGGCGGGAAGATGTGAGAGGCAGGATCTAGGTTGAGCCTGAGTGAACAGAGGAGAGAAGGGAGAGAGGAGGGAGGAAGAGATGCGAGGGTGCAGGAGGGAGGAGGAGGGGGGAAGGACGGGGAAGCTATCTGGAAAGGAGAAACACCCCACGCACCCATCATAGAAACGGAGAGCATGGTTGATAAATCCCATGGCCATGTTCGCCAGCTTGCGCGTGAACGTGTTACGGAACGGCCGATGAGTTTGGGCGATCCGCAGGAACGTCCTGTCAAGCGATACGTTGGAAAAGTGACGCGGTAATTGGAATCGAAGGATATTACTAACGTGCGAGTGCACATTCGCTACATCGATACGATAGGGTGACAACGCTTCTGCTGTCCGATTGACCTCGCAGTGATTGTGCCGTCAATCCCATACAAGGCCGTGTTGCGACGAAGACTTCCACACGTACATTTTGTCGAAGGAGCGGGAGGATGTGTCCGAGTCTCGAGACCACCGTCGAGCCAATTTCGAAGACGACATTTTGGGTCAAGTACTCCACATGCACGCTACATGCATCCCGGAAGGCTGACGTCTTCAGATCTCTTGTTATCAGAGTCAGAGTTTGTGCCCCGATAGCCTCGCGCTGTTGCAGAGCGGCGCTTTCACCGAGGCCAGGTGGAGTAATTTGCCCCACGGAAAACCCGACCCGGCTGCGCATCTCCCCAGCTTCTTCGCACCATCATCAACATAATCGTCGTCGTCATCATCATCATTATAATCAGTTTCATCAGCATCATCATCACAATCACCATCACCAGCATCATCATCGGCATCATCATCAGACTCAGCACCATCATCAGCATGATTATTATCATCATTATCATCAGCATCATCGTCACCATCACCATCTTCATCCTCGTAACCACCATCATCTTCATTACCATCATCACCATCAGTATCATCATCATCACTAGCATCATCGTCATCATCATCACTTCCATCATCATGATCATCGTCATCGTCATCGTCATCTTCAACAGCACCATCGTCATCATCATCATCACCATTATCGTCACCAGCATCATCATCACCATCATCATCATCATCTGCATCATCATCTTCATCATCATCACCATCATCATCATCATCTGCATCATCATCTTCATCATCATCATCATCTGCATCATCATCATCATCATCATCATCATCATCATCATCACCATCACCATCACCATCACAATCACCATCACCATCACCATCACAATCATCATCATCATCTCGGAGGGGCGAACATTGTCATTCCACCATCTCGCCAGCACCATCCCCCCTCCCCCCACTCCCCACAGCGGGTGAGAGCCACGGGACCTACGACCACCCACCCTCCCCAGCACCCGTCCCACATTTCTCACAACTCCCGGCTACCGATGTCCCCTCTTCTCGTTCTCCCCATCCTTGCCCCCTGCTCCGCCCCTCCTGTCTCGGAGCCCCCCGGCACACCCCGACCTCGTCTCGCTCGGCGGCACCCCGGGCACCAGCCGCACCCGCTTCGCCACCCGCGGCGACCAGGCCTACTACACCCGCTCGTGCGCTCGTCCCCCTCTCTCCTCGTCCTCCTCCTCTCTCGTCCTCCTCGCCTACCCGGGGCAGTCTGGGGCGCGAGGGCCTTGGGTCTCCCTGAAATTGACGGACGGCTACGCAGGCGAGGAGGCGCAGTGCGAACGCAACGTGCTCGCGCTCAGGTGCCCCATCCTGCACGCCATCATGGCCAACCGGAGGGACGCCGACGTGATCTCGTACCTCGCGTTCGGCATGGAGCTCAACGGCCCTCTCGAGGAGCATCGGGGGCTCCCCGCCGAGGCAGGTCTCAGCCTCATCGCGACCCGCGTGAGCACGATGCAGGTCGAATCCTCCAGCTCGCTGGGCATGCAGATGGTCGTCCTGATGGAGCCGTCGCTGCACGCCTCCAGCCAGATCGCCGGCCGGCATCACCGTGGAGTTCACCGTCGCGGACTTCGGCAGCATCGAGCGCGAGCAGCACGAGGGTTACGCGCCCCACCTCGCAACCCTTATCCTCGACGTGATGGGTTCCGTCGAGCCGTGCATCGCGATCGACACCGTGAACGCTCGGGTCTTCAAGCAACACGCGTCCCACACCAAGCTCCGCGAGGCTCCGCAGGACCGCGCCCTCCTGAACCGCTTCCACAACATTGCCTTTCGGGACTGTTCCGACGTGCACACCGGCGACCGCAGCCGCCACGACGCAGCGTCACGAGGTCCCAACCCCGAGTGTCACGCTCAGCAGCGTCTCGAAGGTCCCGTCTCGGAAGCTGCCAACATCGTCATAGGGGAGCGCGCCCTCCAAGCTCACCCGCCCACGCGGTTAGTGGGGCCGGCGGAGCTTGTCTACCTCCGCCACGTGCGCAGTTGCGCAGCCACAGCTTTATCGGCGCGCTCCACGTCCTCGAGCCCTTGTTCCCCTGCCCAGGCTGACCTGTTCCAGCAGGTTTTGCGCATGATACTGGCCTCGTTCGCGAACGTGCTGGCCATCGGGTACCCGGTGCTGGTCCACACCATTCTCACGCATGCGCTGCACGTGATATTGGGGCCTCTGTTCCCCGCACCACTTGCGAACGCGCGCGCCGCTGCCATGGCGACGCAGGTCCACTTCACGAGACCAGTTTGCATTGCGACCACGGTTTGGGCCACCTGCCTTCTCAGCCCCTGCATGGTATGGTTCGCCGCCTTCATGGTTGGCAGTCTGCGGACAGACCATCTTGATCGCGAGGGCTATCCTTACACCCGCCTTCCCAGCGGAGGCCCCTGACAACAGGAGCCCGCGACGGACGTCAAACGTCGCAGTGCGCAACACCTTCTTCGAGATAGATGATAGCACTGTGGCCCAGGGCTCGCTGGGACGTCAACTTCGACGTAATCGCACGGATGGCGACGAGCCGCTGCTCGAGCTCCGCATGGGTGAGCTAAGCGTGGATGGGGAGCGCAACATGGAGGTCGACGCTGGCATCCCTGCTGAGGAATCCCGCCGCGCCGCAGCCTCAGCGGAAGCACGAGGTCCTGCCGCGCCAGGGCCGCCACACCCCGCCGACGCGGCAGCTGGCCTGGGATCCTCGATCGCCGGCGCCGCCCCCGCGCTAATGGCAGTCGATGCCAGCGCTCAGGCGCCCAGGGCAGGCGGCGCCGAGGTCATCTGCCCGACCTGCCAATCTGCCGCCACCCAGTGCAGGTGCTCGCGGGCTGCTGCCCAGGCCATCGCCTCCATCCCTTCGGGCTCGGGGCCCGCCGCTGCCGCTCGCCCGCCCCCGCTGTCCGCCGCCGCGGCTGGCGCCCTGCCCGCAGGCGCGGCTCGACCCCCCGCTAGCGCATTTTCCCGCGCGCGCGCCGCAGCGCAGGCTTCACGAGTCCGAGAGCGACCCAGCGCCGCCCCGCAGCCGCCAGCCGACTCGGACGACCCTGGTCCTGCCCACGTTTTTTTCCATGATGCCCACTACTGGCGTCCCTGGTGCCAGGGCCGGTCGTTCCGCGCCCCAGACGAGTTCGTCCGTCACCTCTCCAGCGCCCATGTCGGACGCCCAATCGACGATTCCATGAGGATCACCCTGCACGCTACGCAGCGTAGCGTATGCACGGACAGCACCTGCGGAAGGTTGCGCCCACTCGGGCAACGACATTGCTCCCGCTGCCGGCAGACCAAGCCGCGCCGACCACCAGTCGGCCCCGTCACCGCCGCCCCGCCCACCCAGGGCCAGGCCGCCAACGCTGAGCCGGCCGCCGCCGCCGCCGCGCCAGTCGAGGGAGGATTCGAAGTCGACGGTTCACCTGGGGTCACGGCGCCGGCGCTGCTGGAGTTTACAGCTCGCGTCCGCAGGCTCTCCCACAAAACACGGTCATTCACATGCCGCTCAGCTGCCAGCTGCCTCTCCTCCACACATCACACGGCAGTGCTGGAACAGGTGTGCCGACGGGGACCCCGCGTGGGCCGCCTTGGAGGAGGCTCGCTCCATGCTGCTCTTCGGCTCGGCCCCCCAAGGCATAGCTGCCGCTGACGAGGTCGCCGCGCGGGCTGCTCTGTAGGAAGCGGGCGACGTCGCGGCCCTCCTGGTCAGAATGGAGCAGCAGCAGGCCCCGATTGAACGCGCTCGAGCACGCGGCCAGCCGCAAGGGGCCGATGACCCAGAGCTCCGCGGGAGGAGGGCCAGGCACTTTGCTGCGGAAGGGGTCTGCAGAAGGCTGCCGCCCCCCCGACGTTCAGCACGCTGCCAACGAACGCCGCCGAGGACAGGGATCCGCAGAAAAGCTTCTCCCCCGCCCGGGCCGCCCTGGCGCCGCGCTCGGCAGGCCGGCGCCGCCCGCCGGATCGCCAGCGCCCGAACCGCTCGCCGCGCGCCCTGCCGACGGCGCCTTGCTGGAGGACGGCCCCGAAGACGCCTCCGAACACGGCGGGGCCCTGGGCGGCGTCTGGCGGGGCAGGCTCGCCGCCCCTGGCCCTGCGCGCGCGCGACCAGAGCACCTCGCCGAGCTCTTCTCGGTGCCCCGGCAGCGCGAGGCCGCCCCCCATCGACGGCCCCACGCGGCCATGCGGAGCAGCGAGATGCAGGCGCCCACGCGCTGGCCCGCCTGCGCCCGGCTTATGTGGAAGCGAAAGCGCAATGGAAAACCGCGCCTTATCAAGATGGGGGAGGTGCTGCGCACTGGCGCACCAAGCAGCACCCCCCGGCCTTTCGCGCCCGCTTCCGGACCGCCCACCAGCGGGGCGCAGGCGCGCCCGGAGCCTGCGAGGCCGCGGCGCGCTGGCGAGGGGCGGTGGGAGAGTTGGCCGCGCAGGGCGCCATCCCAGCCCTGGCGGCGCTGGGCGTGGACCTGGTCAAGATGTTCGGCCGCGCGGAATGGGGCGCAATGCGCGCCTCGATCGACCCGGCGGCGTTTCCCGAGAGCCGCCTGGACCCCCTGGCACCAGCAAGAGCCCTCTAAGACAGCCCTCCCTTCCTTGCAGACCTCGGCGCCGAACAGGGAGACGGCTTCGGCGCTGCGCAGGCGGGGCTCACGCTTGCTGCCGCTCGCGCCCCCCGCGCAGGACCGACCACTGAGGGGGCCGCCGCGGCCTCGGGCGCCTGCGGGCAGTGGTTTATTAACGACGGTCAGGTTTTTCCCCGCGTCCAAAGTGGGGCTCTTGTTTTCTCTGGGCACCCCGCGCAGGAACACGGGAACACCCGCTCACCCACTCGCGCGCGCTATCATCACCATCGTCGCCATCATTCGCGCATTCGCTCATTTACACACTCATATCATCACCCATTCACTCGCCCACTCACTTACCCGGCTACCGACCCAAGCGGGGGCTTCGTCTGTGAGTGAATTGCGAAGAAATCTCAGGCGGGGATCCCTCCCTATGGGGCCTGCAGCCCATGTGAGTAATCCGAGCGGGTCGTCGGCCTTCTGCAACTGTCATCACTTTTGGGCCCTTGAGGCCTGAATATGGAAGAGGCATCAGGCGGGGGCCTGTTCTGTGGGTGAATTTCAAGGAAGTCTCAGGCGGAAGCCCCTTCCCTATGGGTCCCGCAGCTCACGTGAGTAATCCGAGCGGGTCATCGGTCCCCTGCAACAGTCGCCACACTTGGGCCCCCGAGGCTTGAATATGGAGGAAGTATCAGGCGGGAACTTCGTCCGCGAGTGGTTTGCGAGGAAGTCTCAGGCGGGGGGGCCCTCCCTATGGGGCCCGCAGTTCACGCGAGTTGTCTGCGCGGGTCATCGGCCTCCTGCAACTGTCGTCACTTGTAAGCCATTGAAGCGTGAATCTGGGGGCAGCATCAGGCGGGGGCCTTGTCTGTGAGTGAATGGCGGGGAAGTCTCCGGCGGGCCCCCCCCGTTGGGGCCCGCGCTTTACGTTCGAATCCGAGGCGGGTCATCGGAAACCTGCAACTGTCACGGCCTAGAGGAGATAGCAAGGACACCTCGACATCTCGAGGGCGACGATGGGGGTCATTTCCCGATTAGCCGAGAGGTTTCTCATGCGGGGCCCCGCCGCCGGAGCAACGTTCGCCCGCGCGCTCTGAGCCCCTTTTCCCGTGCAGCCTCGACGCCGGCCTCGCGCCCTTCGTCGGCGCGCGCGGGGCGGTGGCCGCTGGAACAGCCAAGAGCTCCCGCCGCCTGTTCGGCCCCGACGGCGAGCGACGCCGCAGCGACGTCTGGGGCGCCGACTACGTCTGGACCACCTGCGCGGCGCTCGCTCCGGAAGGGCCCACGCTCGCCCTCGGCGCGCCCTCCGGCAGCCCCGACGCGCTTGACGACCAGGCCAGGGTCGTGCTCGCCAATGCCCGCGACGCTCGCCGCGCCCTGCTCGAGGTCGGGCACGCCGCCGCCGAGCTGGCGCTCACGCGGCTCTGCGCCGACGTGTCTGAGCTCCCCCGCCAGGTCCGGCTTGGCGAGGACAGGGTGAAAAGCGACGCTCGCAGCAGTTCGACACTGACCTCCGCGACGCGGCGCAGGTAGTCGCCGGCGGCAACCCCCCTGATGCGGCATGGGGGCAGCGCGCGCTCGACGCGAGCAAGGGGGGGGTTCGGCGCGCGGGCCGCCGCGTAGGCGTCGCTCGCCGCCTTAGTTGCCGGCCGCGCGTGCCCGCGACAGAGCGCGCGCAATGGCGACGCACCTCGTGGAGAGAGGGCTGGGCGACTCTCTGGGCTCGCCATGGCGGTCCACGACCAGCGCGCGGACGAAGCCGCGGCGCGCCCCGCCCTCAGCCCCCCGCCCGCCCAGGGCGCCCTCGCCGTCGCCGCGCTCTCGGAGGCGCTCGCGGAAACCGAAGAGCGGCGGGCTGCGCTCCTCGACCCGCGCGCGGAGGCGCCCGCGGCCACCCCCGGGGGCCGCCGCGCCCGCCCCCGGGACATCATCTGCAACTTGTTCCTTCTCGACGAGGACGAGGACGACGAACGCTCCAAATCTTTTCCGCGCGCGCGGCAACTGCACCTACAGAGGGCGCTCCTGCGCCACCTCGACGAGCAGGGCAGGCGCGACCTCTGCGACTAGCACCAGAACGCAGGCGACAGCGCGGCACTGCGGCGGCTCGACGACCTCGGGCACCCTGACTGCGACCACACCTGGCTCTGGAACTTGTCCAAGCACGAGGGCCCAGTGATGGAGTCCCCCGACTTCGTCGAGTTCGTCGAGGCTCTCCGCCTTCGCGTCGGCGCAGCAGGATCCCTCGACCCCGCCCCCTGTGGGATTTGCGGCGCCCCCCTCCTGGGCCAGGCTGGGTCCCGCGCGCCGTGCTGCAGCCGCTCGGAGCCCGCCCGGGGGCGCCGCGCAGTGGCGCGACGGGTGCGCGACGCCGCCGAAGTCTGCGAGCCTGGCGCCGAACTCGAGGCCCAAGGCCTGGTTCCAGGCACGCGGCTCCGACCAGCAGACGTCCTCACCGGCGCCCTGGGCAGCGGCCTCGCGGCCCTGGACGTCGGCGTGGTCTCGCCCGACGCCGCGGCCGCGGGTCCGGACCGCGGGGCCGCCATGCGCCGACGCAAGGTCGAGTACTATTCCGCGCACGCTGACGCCCTGGCACGGCAAAACATCACGGACCAACCGCTGGCGTTCACGCGCCGCGGCCGGCTTCGCCCACGAACGACAGCCATCCTCCGCGCCCTCGCGACTAAACAATCGCGGAGGCGTGGCTGTCCCGACGGGGAGTGGCGGTGCCGGCGCTTCTCCGCCGCAATCGGCACGGGGCTCTGGCGCTGGGCCGCCAGGCAGGTCCAGGCCTGCTGGCCGGACCGCGAAACGGGCGCCACCCAGGCGACCGCGCGGCCGCCCCGCGCCGCAGCTTGCCCGCCCTCGCCCCCGGCACGCGCGCCTAACTGGCGTGGCCTGGTGGCTCGCGCCCCGCGGCCGTGCCTCCCCGGCCTGCTTGTTGCTTGCTTGCCTGCCTGCTTGCCGCCCTCCCTCCCCCGCCCTTCCTCCCGCTCGTCCTGCGTTCCTCCTCCTGGGCCCGGAGGCCGCGCGTCGACGCGCGGCGTTTTGTCTTCCCTCTTCCCCCTCCTTCCTTCATCCGTGCTCTCGCGCGCCCCTCCTCCCCACTTGCGCGCTTCGCCGGCGAGGCCGCAGGCAGCCCTGCTCGCGCGTCCTCCGTCGCCCCTTGCGTCGTTCGTCCCTTCTTTTTTGGGCCTCTCGTTCCCGCTCGTCGCGCGCCCCTCTCTGCTCTCGTGCGCCCCTCCTCCCCCCTGGGCGGTCTCAGCTGTGTCCAACCAGCCGTGGCCCCATCTACAAGAGCAACCCGGGCCCATTTCCGCGCACACGCTGCGCCAACAAGACTGCAGGCAACCCCGCTCGCGCATCCTCCATCGTCCGTCTCGTCGCGCGTCCCTCCCTCTTCTTATCCTCGGCCTCTCGCCCCCGTTCGTCGTGCGTCCCTGTTTGCTTTATTGCGCATTCCCTCCCCCCCCCTTGCGGGTCCCAATCGTCTCCAGACCCGATGCTGCAGAAGCAGAGGGAACAGTCGAGGCCACATTGTCGATATTTGTTTGCCTGTCTGCTGTAGTAGGCGGGTCCGCCTGCCTGCACGCAGCCTACCGCCCTCCCCTGAATCGTGGCCAGGCAACCTATGTGGCAGAATATCACTGGTGCAATATAGGCAATTTTTCTGGGGATGCTTAATTATGGCCTTCGCGAGTCTCCAGGGTCGCACTGGCCGGGGCTTGGGTGCAGCACCCTGCAGGATCCTGCAGGATCAGTTGCCTCCCGTTTGCGTCAGAGCGACTGCGTGCAGACACGCACAGACTCGAAAGTGTTTTCGGTTGGGATTATGTCTCTTTCATTTTTCAATTGTCATATGCATCTCCGTCTTCATCTTCATATTCGCCGTCAGTTTCATCTTCATTTTCATCCCCATCCCCTCTACGCCCATCAGCCTTCTCCCTTCCCCGCTCAACCTTTTCCTCCTCCTCCTCCGTCCTTGTCCTCTGCGTCCTCCTCCTCATGCTTTCTCCGCCCATCATCTTCAATTTCGTCAGCATCAGCGTCACCATCAACATCACCATCATCATCACCCTGCCCACGCGCTGCCCTGCTGGCGGCTCCCGCGGCAGCCAGGTGTTGCCACCACCGCGGCCGCGGGTGCCCGACCACGGAGACCACCACGACGACGCTGACGCTGGAGACCACTACGGCAGCCCCGCGGCGGTGGAGGAGGGGGGAGGGGGGAGAGGAGAAGGACGCGGAAAGCGGAGAGGACGGGAGCGGAGGAGGAGAGAAGGCGGAGGACGCGAGAAGAGGGGGAGGTGGAGGAGGAGGCGGAGGAGGAGGACCAGAAAAAACCAACGATGCGCAAGCGATGCTGCAATACACCTTTCAGTCCCACATCCCCTCATCGCCTCTGCATCTTACCAGCGCGTTACCAGGAACGCGAAAGGCATTGATCCGTTACAGGGCCGTGAGGTGTCCAGAGAGGTGTCTAGCGAGGGCCACCCCCTTCCGCAGAAGTGTTGTACAAGTGTACACTTGTGGTCATGAACGTCGATGAGGTCCCAAGCGACAGCTGTAGTTCGAAACAGGGCCGCCATGGATCTGTGCAGTGCTACGCGTCGTGTGTTGAAGCTTCGGGCTTTTAAGCTTAGACGAGTCTCAGGCACAACCCGATGTCGAAAAGGAGCAGTCCGAGTCTGCGCGGCGTTAGGGTGAGAGCGTCGTTTGAAAAGCGAGTGCTCAGTCCTTGAAGCTGTCGCAAGGTTTCGAAACGAATGTTCGCGGCGCGAAGGCGGGAGCTCGACGTTGAAAAGGAACGCCCTCCATCCGTAACGCTATTGCAAAGGTTTCAGCCGAATGCGTGCGTCGCTAAGGCGAGAGCTTCATGTTTAAAACAACCCCCTGCCCCCTTCCACTATTGAAAGGGCTGCGAACGTGTAAGAAGAATGCGCGCGGTGCTTAGGCGAAAGCCACTCTTCGAACACGACCCCTCTGAAAGTGAAACGGCTGCAATGTTTCAACAAGAAGGTGTGTTGCGCGACGGCGAGCGCCACATTGTGAAAGCGTTCCCTACATCCGTGAATATGCCGAAACAGTTTCAGATGAGTGTGATTGGCGCTGAGGCGAGAGCCACACGTTGAAAAGGAATCGCCTTGCGTCCGCGAAACTACTGCAACTTTTGAGACGAGAGAGCGCAGCGCTAAGGCGAACGCCATATATTGAAAACGGCCCCTTCCCATCCGTGCGCGGTGCTACGTTGTTGTGAACAGGACCTGCCTCCATGACACATTTGCTCACTTTTGAGAAGGTGCGCGGTTCTAGAGCGAGAGCCACAATTTGAAATCGACCCCCCCCCCCCACCCATCCGCCAAGTTGTTGCAAGCTTGTAGGAATCATGTGCGCGGCGCTAGAGCGAACGTCTCAGCTTGAAAGACATCCCCCTCCATCTGTGCAGTTGCTGACAGTTTTAGGACGAATGCGAGCAGTGCTAAGGTGACAGCCACATGAGAGCCACCCCCCTCAGGCCCGCCCTAACGACATGTCTGGGGGGACGGGGACGACGACGACGAGGACGATGAGAATATGGAGGCGAGGTTAAGGAGGAGACGGAGGCGGCGAAGGCACAGAAGGAGTTGGAGGAGGGCTGAGGGAGGAGGAGGAGAGGAGGAGGATGAGGAGGAAATGGAGGAGTTGAGGGAGGAGGAGAACAAGGAGGAAGAGGAGGATGGGGGAGGAGGAGGAGGGGGAAGAGGAGGAGGGAGGAGCTTGTTTTGAAAGAAGCGGAGTGGAGGAGCGGCGGGAGCACGAGGGGAAGGGAGGGAGAGCAGGTTTTTCCCTGGGGAATGTAGAGAGCTCTTTTGAGACCGAGCTAAGCTCATTGGATGGGGGGCTTGGCAAAGGGGATCGCGCGGGTAGGGCAGATGGCGGGATGAGCAGAGTAGCATAGTAAAGCGCAGAGGGTGAGTGACAACACCTAGGCCCAAGAGAAGAGGGAAAGAAGAAGAGGAATAGAGAGAGAGAGAGGAGAAGGAGAGGCGCTGGGTGACGAAGAGCAGGAGGTGGAACAGGATAATCAGGTGGAGGAGGAGGACGAGAAACGGAAGGCGGAGAAGAAGTCAGGATGTGGGGAGGAGAAGGAGGAGTTGGAGAGAGGAACAGGGAGAGGAGGGAGAGAAGGTGGAGGAGGAGGAGCACCAGCAGCTTGAGGAGGAGGAGTGGGGGGAGTGGGAGGAGGGGCTCTGATCCTTACACCGATCCATACACCGACGCTAGTGGGCTCCTGGGTCAGGGTATCTACGCCCGAAAGCTCTACGAGTCACGCTTTGGCCAAGGCTCGGTCAGGAGCCACCTGCTCGGTCCAAAACCCAGACTAGACGCCGGCGGTAAGCCGTCAACCTGGTTGCCGCGGGAAACCTCGTAGAGCTTTCTTTCACCGATTACCGGAGTCGAGAAAGCAAGACGGTACCGCACACTGCAACATATATCTTTTGATAAGGTCTCAAAGAAATGAGCTTTGCGAGTGGCAACACGAGTAATTCGGCAGAAACATTGGAGCTACAGCCACAATAGTGGGACCATGAGAAGCGCATTACTCAAGTAAACGAGGGCCGAACGAAGATGCCCAACACGAATTTCCCAATCTCGAGGCGGCAGGGCTTACAACAGAGGCAGTTCGATGCATCTTGGCACTGCGTCTGCAGCGTGCGGGCGACGGCCGCGGCAGAGGGCGGCAACACATCAGAGCACCGAGGCAAAGGTGTCCAGCCAAGAAGGGTGACCTCCAACACGGATGAGCGGAGTCCATGGAATGTCAGCGACGGGAAGCACGCCAACGGGCAGGATGTGCGCGGCGAAGTCCTCGTCGACGTTTTTGTTGACGATCCGCGGGGGATGATATCGATCACGGCAAGCAGCAGCAGAGGCACCAGAGCACCCACCAGGGCCGTTCCCTTCAGGTTAGGCTGTCGGAGTTACGTCAGGCGAATCTGATATTCGTATCGGTGACCACCTCGTGACGACTGGATGGAGAGAGGCTGGCGGGCATTCCGCGATAGCATCAGCAACACGGATTAGACACAGGAACATCGGAGGGGGGGAGAGCAGGAGACGGAGGAGATGATGAGGACGATGATAATGATAAAGAGGGGGAAAGGATCAGGAGGGGAGGATGAAGAGGAGGAGGCGGATGAGGAGGACGACGAGGTGAGGATGTTGAGGATGAGAAAAACGATGATGTGAGGATGAGGAGCTGAGGGTGAGGAGGAGGAGGCTGCGAAGGTAGAGGAGGAGCGGCAAGGAGGAGGAGGAGGAGGAGGATTGACGCTATGATCACAGTCGATCTGAGTGTCCCCAGCGCGAAAACAAGGAGGGGCACTTCCTTGTGAAGACCTCGCAGAGGGCAGGGCGGAGCCCGTTCCAGAGTGCAGGACAAGGTGTTTCGACCGTTGTAGCACAGCCCACACATCATGGGCGGATTTACAAAATCAGGGATTCGTGATCATGGGCGGAACTTGTTCCACAGTCTAGGACAATGTGTTCAGCCCATTGCATTCACCAACCCCATATCAACTTCGAGCCTTCACACCTTCTCTGCCGCAGCTATTTCGATAATATGTGCCTCGATTCACCCTGCAAGTTTGCCAGCCACAGTTGCCCGACCAGGATCATGATATCCGCATCGACCGCCGACCAGCATTTGGCACCAGGCCTCGCCAGACCAGAGCGCGCCAGGCCTCCAGTGGTGCTCCCGATTACGTCGAGTGTGTTGCAGACTACGATGCCCCCAATCAGATTTTCGGACCCACTTCTAGTTCACACCCCCAGTAGTTTCAGCACTGTTCTGTTGAGGGGTTGGGCACTGATAGTGGAGGCGGAAGATGAAGGTACACTTTCTGAAGGCTGGAGGCCTTACGGACCAGCACTCCAGCACCATACCTGCCATTGAGTCTCAGTAGCAGGCCCCGTGTGCCCTGCGGCACGGCATCGCAAGCCCAGTACAAGCCAGCTGCCGTCCGTAAAGTCAGAGTGAGGGGGCCGAACGGTCATTCATTGTCCCTGGGTGCGTGGCTGAAGCGAGAATCCGGGGTGAGGTTTCTGCGTGTTGCGTTGCTGTTGTTGTTGAACTCTCATTTCTGAAGAATAATTACTGTTGATCCCCCCTCACCAGTGCATACTGTTTTTTCTTAGAATCAAATTGTGCCCCTCGACGCTCGCACCCTGTTTTTTTACAGGGAAAGTCTTGATACTCAAACTGGGCCCCTGGCCCCCCGGATTACAACAACAACGGCTCCCGCCTGACCTTTCCTCCAAATTTACTCAGGACCCCCGCTCCTGAGACTTCCTTACAATTTACTCAGGAACGGTGCTCCCGCCTGTGACTTCCTCGCAATTTAGTCAGGACCCCCTCTCCCATCTGAGACTTCCTCACAATTTACTCAGGAACGGCGCTCCCGCCTGTGACTTCCTCGCAATTTAGGTTGGACCCCCTCTCCCATCTGAGACTTCTTCACAATTTACTCAGGAACGGCGCTCCCGCTTGAGACTTCCTCGCAATTGAATCGAGACTTCCTCGCAATTTGATCAAGACCCCCGCTCCCGCCAGAGAACCCTTCACATTTTATTTAGGAATTGCGCTCTCGCCTGTGACTCCCATGCAATTTATTCAGAAATCGCGCTTTCGACGCTCAGGAAACACGCTGCGCCAAGGACGCCGTTACAATTTACTTAGTAATTGCGCTCTCGCCATACTATGTCCCACCCGCCCGACCCGCCCGTCAAGGGAACGCCCGCCCGTCGTGAGCTCCCGCCCGAGACGTCCTTCAGGAACGGCGCTTTCGCCTAGGACTTCCTCGAACGTTCACGCTCTTACCTTCCTGCTCCTCCTCCCTCTCCCCTCTCCCTCTCCCTCCTCCCTTCTCCCTTCTCTCTCCCTCCTCTCCTCCCTCATCCTTATGCCTCTCTGCCCTATCCCCTCTCCCTCCTCTCCCTCTTCCCTTTTCCCTCCCCTCTCCTGCCTCCTCCCTCCCTCTTTCTTTCTCTCTCTCCCTTCTCTCTCTCTTTCTCTCTCTCTTTCTCTACCTCTCTTATCTGTCTCTCTCTCTCTCTCTCTGCCTCTAATCAACCGCACCCCCTTTTCGCTCCTTCTCTCCTGGCGTTTTCCCACTTCCTTCGCCCCTCCCCCTCCCTTCCTCCCACTCTCCCTCG